AGGAGGGACAGGAAAGAGGAATGAATGACAAAAGGATTTATTGAATTTTATCAAAATTGAAATTTTCTGCTCATTTATTAATAAAGTCAAATCATGATTTTGGAAAAAACAACCATTTCTAAAACACAGATTCCATGACAGATTTATACACACTCCTCTAAAATTGTATGGCAGGCTCTCTGAAACAATAACAGTGGGAAAATAACCAAAATTTTAAGATTGCTTTAAAAACTGAATATTTTTTCCAAAAAGAAAACAAGAACCAAGAGATGGCTCAGTGGATAAAAACAACTGATATCAAGTCTAGTGACCAGAAGTTTATCCCTAGTAACAATATGGTGGAAGACAACTAACTCCAGCCACTCACCTTCAGACCACCACAACATGCTATGCTACAAGCCCATGTATACATACACACACACACACACACACACACACACACACACACACACACACTGTCCTACATGCCTATGCATACACAAATACACACAAACACACTGTTCTACATGTCTATGTATGCACAAACACACTGTGCTACTGCCCATGCATTACACACACACACACACACACACACACACACACACACACACAAATTTAAAAAAATCTAATGACTTTTTTCAAATAATAAAAATAACTATTAAGCCTATGTAAAATGCTCATGACCATTAGTCACAGGAAAAGTGGTTTGACATCCATCAAAATGCCTTGAATTAAAAACTGCTAATGCTGTGAAATTATGAAAACATTACTTGCTGGTGGCAGTACTGAATGAAAGCTCAGTTTACAAAACTTTTTGAAAATATCTTACTAAGTTAAATGCGCATACTTTCTATAACCCAACAGTTCTGTTGGTTACTTCCAGGAAAAGTGGAAAGACAGGAGGAACCAAGAACGTGTGAGGAATCTACAAAATGATGTGGCTGTTTGTTGTGGGATATTTGTACACTGTGTGAAGATGCTTTGCTATGATTGGTGTAATAAAAAGCTAAACAGCCAATTGCTAGTCAGGAGGTATGGGTGGGACTTCTCGACACAGATAGAGAATTCTGGGAAGAAGGGTGGAGTTGCCAGCCAGGTTCAGAGGAAGCAGCTCTTGCTGCTAATGCCCTGGTGAGAAGGAATTCCTTTCTCTGGGGCCTATTTGAGACTACAGAGCACCCAGTACATATTCTGCATGCAGTCTAATTCATAGTAACAAATATTCTGGAGTTGATACATAGAATATTAATTGCTATATCTATAATAAACAATAAAGACATGTCATAATTAATATAAAATCTCCATGTCATTATTAGTGGCCTGACAGTATTGCTACATATGGAGACTCAAATATCAACAGGCATTGTGAATCACAGACATTTATTGTTTTTTAAAGCTGGGATATATAACAAGTTAAATTTTCTTTTTTTTTTTCATCTTTTCTACAAAGAAAAAAATCATAAAATGGAATTCACATACATTTTGGTATATATATCAAGCAGGATTGACACATCTTCACGAATGTCCTCATTTCTAGGAAAACAGCAACACATTTTGAGTTTGTGGACAGGCTGTTTGGCTGCACGTGTTATCAGAGAGCTCTACCTGAGTTAATTTATCACTTAGTACTCTGTGAGAAAGTAATCCTCACAGTAAACAACATGCTCTCCGCAGTAAACACACTTATCCCCAAGCCAAATGATGGAGTCAGCTCAATAAATAAAAGCCCTTGTAGTAATACCTTCCTTTTACAATTAAAAACTAATTATTGAAATAATTGGTTGAAAATAAACAGCATGCTAATTTCATTCATTGTGTGCAGCAAACAAAGCCCTATGGAGCTCATGCATTGGAGAACTTGTTTTGGTTCTTGAGCATTAATATATTTGTGTATGTTTTATATATTTTAGTGCTTCTATTGGCAATTTCACAAAAAATTGAAGACGAGATTTTTAGTAAAATTTCCAACTCTTAGTACTTGGAGATTCTTAATAGAAAATATAGTTGGCTAATGTAAGTATCACAGGAGACCACCCTCTGACCAATAAGGGCACCCCAAACATCCAGGACCCAATAGGAAAATGAAAATGAGTTATCTACTGTTGGGGCATTTGGGGAAAATACAAGCTTCAATTGCTTTCACTAAACGGAAGTAAATGATAACAGTGATGTGATTAGTTAGAAAATGTTCTACTGATGATTAGTATTACCAATAAGCCAGTATACATCAAGAGGTATTATTATTAGTTGGAAAATGTCATTCAGTGGTACTGTGCTTGCTCATCACAGCATAGCTAAAAACAAGTCAAAACAAAACAAAACAACAGCAAAAAAATAACCAACATGCAGCTATACATGACACATATGTGTGTGATGTGTGTGTGTGTTCCCTTTTCTTTTATTTTCCAAGTCCAGTGCTGTATTTACCCTTCCTGATTCTGATTGAGGTGGTGAATGATATACTGAATAAGATAATAACACAACTGATATCAAGGCACCAGCCCCAGCCTTAAGACAGACTCCGGCCAATGAAACAGAACAGAAGGCCTGGAAGTAATTTTGCATACCAACCTGGATGATTTTTTGGAAAAGATGACAACAACACACAATGAAGAAGGACTACCTTTATTAAGGAATTGTTCTGGGAAACTGAGTATCCACATACAGAAAAAAAATATTGTACAAAGCATGAGAAATAATCAATGGGGAATAGACAACATATAGTATACATGAAAAAATGAAACTGAAACATATTTATCAGATAAATATATGAATATATATGAACAGCAGAATATATGGAGCCCTCTAGAAACTCAAGCAAAAAGGGAACACAATTTTAAAATGGGTAATAAATCTAAATGAACACTTCTCAAGAGGAGTTATGCAAATAATAAGAAACTTAACAGCACCAATCATGTAAGAAATGCATACAAAACCATAATTAGATGTGAAATTACTAAACTATGATTGGCTATAAATGAAAGGATAAAAGATAACAAATTCTGGCAAGGATGTAGATGAATGGGAATACTTCCACACTGTTGATGAGAATAGAAATGAGGACACACACTGAGGATCGTAGTATGAAGGGCTGTCCAAAAGTTAAAAATAACCTTATGATACAGCTATCTCAGTACTTGGTATTTATCCAAAGGAAATGAAATTTGTATGTCAAAAAGAGACATCTACATCCCTCAGTTTACTGGAACAATATACACAAAAGGCAAGAAGTAGCCAAGCCATTTTATCCACTGACCGATTTAAAAAATGGAAAATAAGGTAAAATACACAGTAGAATATTGTTTAGTCATAAAAAGAAAGAAAACTGACAATATGGGTGAAAATGTAGATCACTGCATTACATGAAATGAATTAGCAAAAGAGAGACATGACCTGCATAGTCCTTCTCATAGGTGTAATTTAAAATGTTAGTCTGTGTTCAGTGGTTGTTAGGTGAGAATGTGGGAAGTGGAAGAGGAAATGAGTCCCAAGTTGTGATTTGTCAGAGTAAGACATTCTTCTGCAGAGTAGTGGCCATGATTCTCACAACAATCATAACAAATAAGATTTGCTCATGTTTGATATGCCAGATTCCATTCTTAGCCATCCAGAACGGATGGATATTCTTCCATCAAATGAAAGCCTATAGTAGATGCCAAAAATACAGGAATATCTATGTACTTTATGTAATTATTCACTACAGGAACTCTGCCTGATAAATCATCTCAAAGCAGAAAATTTCAGATGCCACAAGGGAGAAAGGAAATAAGTAACAAAATTGAGATGAAGTAAAAATAGAGTAGTCAGTAAATATATAGCACAAAGAAGTACTCTATACACTTGTTACAGGTGAGTCAAATCCTATTTTAACCTAGTGCACCCAGGGTCCAAAAAATATAACACCAATGGGCACAATAGGGTCACCTAATATTAAGAAGTGAGGAAAATCTCTCCCACAGAGCTTCATAAGTACCACTATAAGATGAACAGGATATGATCTTCTACAGTGTTCAAATAAAAAATCCTAGTCAATAGAATAGATCAGGGAATTAATTCTACTAGGGAAATGAGCCATGGTAGAAATGCACACCTCTCTGAGTATGTATCATAAGCAAACTTAGAACATGTAAGTGAATGAATAAGTGTGTAAATTAGTGGTCTTAAAAACTGTTGAGAAGAAACCAAATAATCTACACAGATGTCTAAAAAAAGAGAGAAAGTTTCCACGGTCTCTGGGGTAAATCTGCTGCTATTACACTATTCTGATCCTGTCCTCACAGAAGTGGTCATTACTGGTAAGGTTTATATCAGGCTTTCACATTATTTTAATAGAGAAGATGCTGCAAAAGAAGAGTACTTTTAACTGGTACTAATTATAAAAATGACAAAGAAAAAGTGTGCCACAAACTTATTTAAAAAAATACAGCATTCCTAATCAATAGAGAATTTTTCCTGCTACAAACCAAGTTCTAAAAAAATAATGTACCTAAATCATTATCACAGGGTGATGGATTCAACTAAGATGTTGACCAAGGAAAACAATGTAAAAGTCAATATCAAGATTTTTTTTGCAGGAAAAGAAAAAATTAATAATTTATTATATATGGAAGGAAAATGCAAATTTTCCGAATTTAGGAGTTTTTCAAACTTTTCATTCACAATTATCCACATCACTATCAACACCTCGGAATCAGTTTTATCAGGAAAAGGAAATAATGACTCTGGTATTCTATTTTTAAATTGAGTGATTAGACATTGATGTTATATCCACAGGGTCTGCAATGGTCTCAGGAATGGCTTCTTCCTCAGACAGGGTAAGGATTTTGGTCTCAGTATCCAGCTGCCTGACCCAGGTGTCTCTGCCTCCTTCTTCTCCAGCTGGACTAGGTCCTTACCTAAAAAATCTGCCCCTGAATATGCAAATCATGTGAGTCTGTGGTGGTAAATATAGGGAAGTCCACACCAAAAACAACATATGAGCAGTGTCCTCTCCATAGTCACTGAGCACACAGGTCCTCACCATGGGATGGAGCTGGATCACCCTCTTCCTGGTTACAGCAACTGCAGGTAAGGGCTCCAAGTTCCAGACTTGAGGAGGGTCCATGCACTCAGGTGACAGTGACATCCACTCTGCCCTTCTTTCCACAGGGGTCCACTCCCACGTCCAGCTGCAGCAGTCTGGGGCTGAGGTGGCGAAGCCTGGAGCCTCAGTGAAGCTGTCCTGCAAGGCTTCACGCTATACCTTCACCAGCCACTATATGAGTTGGGTGAAGCAGAAGCCTGGACAGGGCCTGGAGTGGATTGGATGGATTGGTGGTGGAAGTGGTGATACTGATTATAATCAGAGGTTCCAGGGTAAGGCCACACTGACTAGAGACAAATCCTCCAGCACAGCTTACATGGAGCTCAAGAGCCAGACATCTGACAAAGCTGCAGTCTATTACTGTACAAGAATCACAGTGTTACAACCATATCCTGAGTATGTCAGAAACCATGGAGGAGCAGGAAGCTGCCCTGGGACTCAGCTAACAGAGAAGATAAACCTGGGGACTCCCTCAGAAATAATCATTCTGAGTGTCCCATTGTCTGTCACTTCCTGGTCCTAGAGTGTGTTTGTCAACATTTCAAAAGAAAATCAGAGAATTAAAGATGCTGACTCAGGATGTTCCCTGTAGTACATCAGACCCTGACCAGAGCTACATCAATGACAATCTCCACTGGTATGCTTCTTTTTAATTTTTTAATTAATTTATTGTTTATATTTCTTTTTTTGACTTTTTATTTGAATTACAAACAAGATTGAATTATATGATAATCCCAGTTCCCTTCTCCCTCACTTCCTCCCCTACCCCCTAACTAAAACCCAACCTGTCACATATCCTTTCTTCTAATCTACACCTGACTCAATCTTTCTGCTCCCTCATGACCTCTGCATCGGCAGCCCACAGACTGGGAAAAGATATTCACTAACCCCACATCTGACAGAGAGCTGATCTCCAAACTATACGAAGAACTCAAGAAGGTAGTCTTTAAAACATCAAACTAATTAAATTAGTGGGGTACAATCCAATTAAAAAAGTGGGGTACAGAACTAAATAGACAATTCTCAATAGAGGAATCTAAATGGCTGAAAGACATATAAGAAAGTGTTCAACATCCTTAGCCATCAGGGAAATGCAAATCAAAACATCTCTGAGATACCATCTTACTCCTGTCAGAATGGCTAAAATCAAAAACACCAATGACAGTTTATGCTGGAGAGGATGTGGAGAAAGGGGAACACTTCTCCACTGCTGGTGGGAGTGCCAACTTGTACAGCCACTTTGGAAATCAGTGTGGCGACTCCTCAAGAAAATGGGAATCAGTCTACAACAAGATCCAGCAATTCCACTCCTAGGCATATACCCAAAATAAGCATATTCATACAACAAAGACATCTGTTCAACGATGTTCATAGCAGCACTATTTGTTATAGCCAGAAACTGGAAGCAGCCCAGATGTCCCTCAACTGAAGAATGGATAGAGAAATTGTGGTACATTTACACAATGGAATACTACTCAGCAGAAAAAACAAACAAGAAACAAACAATGGAATCTTGAAATTTGCAGGAAAATGGATGGAACTTGAAGAAACCATTCTGAGCGAGGTAACCCAATCACAAAAAGACAAACATGGTATGTACTCACTCATATGTGGATTTTAGACATAGAGTAAGGAATTACCAGCCTACAATCCACACTGCCAGAGATGGTAGTAAACAAGGAGGACCCTAAAAGAGAAAATATCAAGATTTTTGTGTCAACAGGATTCAGTATGTTCCTGCCCTTGTAGGTAGGTGATGATTGAGTATCTGGAGAGAAATACAGATGTTTAGGAGACACCAAGCAAATATAAAATATATAACAGGTACTTACAGCTATGTATGAATGTGGACATGTAGATAAATAAGAGTAGACATATGAGTGTGAAATTATGACTGTGTATATGCAAATATTTCCTTTGTGTCTTCAAAAATGACTTACAAAAGATATGTAATTTTTAATGCAAAAGTTTTAAATTGAGGAAAGACACCACATGATATGAAAACTTTGCACCCAAATGAATTATAAGATGCTTGGTATCCTTATTCTTAGAACTAATTATTAAGCAATAGGAAAAACAAAGTCTCTAAATTTTATGACTTCAATAGTTAGGCAGATTAACACAATAGTGACAGACATTATTGTAGTCACAATGTTCAAAGATTGTGTCTCCTAGCCATTTCAGAAGATACACTCATGAAGTTTTACCAACACGCCTGTCAAAAGGAGCTGAACAAGGACAACAAGAGACGTGTAAAAGGAATTCAGAGGAAAGACCACAAGGCCTCAACCCTACACAGAAGACTATTGGTAACCAAAGAATCCTAAGAACAGAAGAATTTGCCTTCCTTAGGAGGATCTCACTAATTGGTTACTCAATACCAAGTAGTAGCCCAGAAAACATACATACAAAGTAACATTATAAGACTGAGCAGATTATATTTATGTATTTAGTAATATACATATACATATATGCACGAAACATTGATCAACGTATAAAGAAGGCATAAACTTGAATGAAAGCAAGGAGGGGTATACAGGATGGTTTGTAGGGAGGACAGTGAAGGGAGAAAGATTATAATTATATTATAATCTCAAAAAACAGAAATTTAAAAATGATTTCTTAATGGCCTTCCATATACAAGCCCATTGACTCCTCATAAGAATCTCTGTCAAGTGTCTACCATTTATGGAAATGAGAACTTGACTAGCAGCAGAGTCAAAGCAGCTTCTGCGGGATCCAATCCCCAGTACCCAGATGCAGAGCCCATGCTTTGAAGCCAAGCACCACTTGCTCTATAGTGTCTCCTCTCCTGTAGTTTACTCTATAGTATTATGCCATGTAAGAGTTATACTTTCTCTTCCCAGATCTAGCTATTCTAGAATATAATGTGGAGACCAGAAGAGAGTTATGAGATGCCCTGGAACCAATGTTACAGGTGGTAGTGAGGTCCTCTGCAAGAACAGTAAGCTCTTCATTGAGTCATTTCTCTGATCCATATTATAGAGTTGTCTAAATATCCTCCTATATAATATCTGATCATCAGATTTCATGTGCTTGTCCTCTGTGTTTGACCCTAATATTGTTTTCATACTTTATCTGCTTCACACTTAGCTTTCATAGACTTACCTTTGATATTCTCATTTGAATATATACACATATATATTTCATAATATGGTTTGATTATTTGATTATTGATGCTTTAAAAGAATCCTGAATTCCTGTGTCACTAAATATCATAAACTACAGAGGCTGTAGAATAAAGGGACACAGGCATCTTCTGAAACATGCAATAACACTTTCTGTCCAATGTGGTTTGTAGAGAAACATTTAAAGAAACAGATTTAAAAAGATAGTGAACAGTAGACACTTCTCTAAAACTCAGACTTTTTCTGATACATAGTACAAAAAATAGGAATGTGGTCAGTGACAGTGTTAAGGAGAAAATACTCTAATGCTAACTCTAATGTAGATAACAAAGCTATAAAAGCTTAAACTGTAGTTTTAGCTATGTCTTTATTACTGAGAAAAATTGCACACATGTAAGTCCCATCATGAAGCCAGAAATCCTGGCTTCTATGGAGATATGCAATATGTTCTTGGACAATAGAAATTACCTCTAGAGGAACAAAGGAAGTATTTGAAAAGCCTTTGTGTGCAGGTAACATGTTAGAGTTTCCTATAAATAAAAAAAAATATCTTTGCATGTGTATGTGTTTATGTGTATATGTGTATAGCATTGGTGGTCTCTTTTAGAGTTGACACTCCAGGGAATTGAATAGCTAGAAAGTGGCAGATTAGAATATTTAAAATTCAGTGCTGCTTCTACCTAGCAAAGAACCACAGTCAACTAAATATCAACTTCGATATTTTACTTAATAGTAACTAAATTTTTTTTGACAGACTAAAATTGGCAGGACAAAGAAAATTTTGCGCAGAAGATATATAAAGAAAATATAGGGGGAAAACAGTCCTCTTAAATAAAGGTGTGTAAGGGATTGATTATCGTCACACTTCCTTAAAATTTTAATCAAACATTAACTTTACAGATACTGATGTTTTTGTGTCAAAACTTTATAGGAAATGCAATTTCTAACTCTTTTGAGATTAAATTTAGTAAAATCATCTTGACTCCTTATATGACACAGAACATTCCCAAAGGGATTGGAAAGCCAGTGTTCTGTCTTTCTCTCCAAGTGAAAAAGTACTTGTGTAAAAATATTTTTGTAATAAGTAGTTGGAAGATTGCTCAGTGGTTAAAAGTTCTTGCTGTTCTATGATGAGGACAAGACTTTGAATCCTAAAACCCACACCAGATGGCTCACAAACACCTACACTTCATCTCCAAAAGATCAAATACCCTTCTGCACTCCAGAGCACACACACACACACACACACAAAAATAATAATAATAATAATAATAATAATAATAATAATAATAATAATAAAATAATTAAAAATAAAACTGAGAAAATACATTTAAAGGGATATAAAAATTAAAGAGATATATAGTCTCACAACTCAGCATCACTAAGTTCTATTATAATCATATTCAAAAGCATTCAGATACACTACTTGCTATGATAAACTTTTTTTTTTTTACGGGCTGGGGATGCAGCACAGTGGTAGCTTTCTTGATTCACATGTTCAAGGCCCTGAGTCTGACCCCAGCACTACCAAAACAAATTATTTACATTGACTCATTTCATGCACAAAACAAAGCCTTTAGCCATGGGTGTTTCACAGGAAATAAATTAGTCCATGCAATGTTAATATGATTTGGGACAAATCACATTGCTACTAAGGGGAAGATATAGGCCTTAAGCTCAAATATTTTTGTCTTAGACTGGTGAATCTTACCATGAATTCATAGTTAATAAACCTTATTTCCCCCACCTCATCTATTAACCGCATCAAGGAAGTGTGTAGTCCATAGAATGTAGACTCTTTTTTATGGTTTAAGCATTTTATATTTATTTATTAATTGTTTGAAGATTTTTATTTGAATTAGAAACAAGATTGTTTTACATGACAATCCCAGTTCCCTCTCCCCCCCTCCCCGTCCTCCCTTACCACCACCTCCCAACTAAAACCCTACCTATTACATATCCTTTCTGCTCCCCCTGGATGGTGAGGCCTTTCATAGGGTGTCATCAGAGTCTATTGTATCCTTTGGGATAGGGCCTAGGCCTACCCCCTTCTGTCTTGGCTCAGGCAGTATTCCACTATGTGGAATGGACTCCCAAATTCCATTCTAGGGATAAGTACTGAACTGCTACAGGAGGTCCCATAGATTTCCGAGGTTTCGTACCTGAAACCCATGTTCCTGGGATCTGGATCAGTCCTATGTTGGTATCCCAGCTATCAGTCTTGGGAGCAGGAGTTCCCTAATGTTCGGCTGTTTCTGTGTGTTTCATCAGCCTGGTCTGGACCCCTTTGCTCTTCACTGGTCCTTCTCTGCATCCGGATTCCAGTTCAGTTCAGTGATTAGTTATGGGTGTCTGCTTCTATTTCCACCAGCTG